ATACATCCCCTTTGTTTATCAATTTAAAAAAATTCTCAAGCATGACTTTATCTTTAATTTGGGAGTTGTGAGATTTTAGTTCCAAATTAATATTATATAGAACTAAATTACCCTGTATCCTGTTTTGAATAAATAATTCCTACTAATATGCGTATTTGCTTGAGGCTAACAGAGGACTTTTGAAATAGCTATCTGAAAAGGTCTTTATAAAAAAATGCTTGCCTGTAACTTGCTAAAATTCAACCACTAGGGTACACAGACCTCTCTTTTTCCACTCAAATGGACCATTAAGGACTACTTTCTGACCAGGATTGGGTTGGGTGAGTGGGAGAACTTATTTATTATTCACAGACTGAGGTCTAAAATTCCAAAGCTGCCTAGACTTCATTCTTCCTCACTCATCTCTCCATATCCAAAATATTCTCTCTATAAATAGTTGTTCATTTTGTCCCCTTCTTTCCATTCACATGACCACTGCACTACTTTAGGTTTTCATCATCTTTAACCTGGATTATTGTAATATCCTTCCAGTTGGCTTCCTTGCTTCCAGTTTCTTCTATCTCCAATCACTCATTCACACAATTGCCAAAATAATATTCCTAAAATACAGATATGACCTTGTCATTTCCATGCTTTAAAACCTTCAGTGGCTTCCAGTTGCCTTTAGTATAAAATGCAAACTCTCCAGTTAGGGACCTCTGCAAGTTGGCTCCAACTTTTATTTCCAATTTTATTATATTTATACATACACCACATTCAATCAAATTGAATTGCTACCTATTTGTCCAAATTCTATTCCTACTGAGCTGAATAATCTCTTTACCTCCATCTCTCAGAATTCATAACTACATCCTCCCTTCTTTCCTCACACTTAAGTGCTACCTTCTCTAATCTCTCCAGTTGTTAATTGGCTCTCCTTTAGCAAAAGATCTTAACTTGTATGCACATATTTCCTTCTCTCTGTGTATATTTGGGTTTATCTTCCTTTGCTGGATCATTACTTTTCTCTCATTTCCTACATGTGGGTGTAATGCATGGCTCTGTGCAATGTCCTCTTCTCTCACCACGCTATCTCAGTGATCTCATTAGCTCCTATGGGTTCAGTTGTCATGTCTATTCAGATGATGCCTAGACCATCACTAGTCTCTCTCCTGAGTGCCAATCTTGCATCAACAACTTCCATTAGGGGTTTCAATCGAATATCCAAGAGAGATCTCAAACTCAGCTTGTCCAAAGCAGAACTCATTATCTCTCCTCACCACCCTGCCCCTTCTTCTTAACCTCCCTGTTTCTGTTAAGAACATCACCATCCTTCCGATCACCCAGATTTACAAGCTTGAGTTTTCCCTCTCCCTCATCTAGTCAATTGCCAAGCTTTTCAATTCTACTTCCACAATATATTTCATATCTGTCTCCTTTCCAGTCATCCTGACATCATCCTAATTCAGTCACTCATTGCTTCTCACTTGGTCTGTAGCTACAGCCTTTTAATTAGTCTCTTAGGATCCAGTTTCTCCTCTCTTCAATCCATTCTCCAGTGAGATGCCAATGTGATATTTCTAAACTAATCATAGATTTCCATCTGGAAAGGACCTTAGAGGTCATCTAGCCCAGCCCCCTCATTTTAAAAGTGAGAACCTAGGGGCATTTAGGTGTCAAGCACTGTGCTAGGCATCCAACATACTCTAGTCACTTACTCTTAACTCAGTAATGAAATACAAACTCCTTTATTTTTTTCTTAAAGTCATTTACACTCCGGGTCCCAGCCTACCTTTCCAGGCTTGTTCCATATTAATCTCCTTCAGCCACTCGACACCACAGCCAAACTGGCCTGCTCGTATTTCCTGAATGCCTCATTCTGTCTCTTTTCTCCTTGTTTTTACACAAGTGTGCTCTGCACATTCTATGTGATAATTAAATTAACCTAGTTGAAGCTGCCCCCTCTAGCTTTTTGTGTACTTGTAGTAGACCCAGCTTTGGAGGATGAGGTTCCTAGGAGATACCCATAAAATTATTTTGAGAAAAATTTTAAAACAAATTCTGAAAAAAATACAGCATTTCAAAAATACAGTTCTTGGCTTTAGGAATAATTTTATAGATGTTTCCATTTAAGCATGTTTCTGGAGGTCCTTTTCTCCTTCCAACAAGCTCAAAGTGCTTTCTACGTAGATATGATCTAAAATAACCCTGCCAGTATTTCTGTTAGGACAATGACTGTCTTACATTTTTGGGTCAGGATGAAACATATGAGGTGCTAAGGACATCATTATGGAAGGTAAGAACTGAACCCCAGACATGTGTCTCCCTGTCTAGGGCTCCGGTGGTAATTATCAATGAAACAGCATCCACGTATCAAGCACTATGGCTAGGTGCTGAAGATACAAATAAAATAAGTGAAACAATTCCTGCCTGCAAGGAGCATACATTCTAAAAAGAGACAACAAAAAACAAAAAGGGGGCAGCTAGTTGGCTCAGTGGACAGAACACCGGCCCTGATGTCAGGAGGACCTGAGTTCAAATCTGGCCTCAGACCAAACACTTGACACTTACTAGCTGTGTGACCCTAGGCAAGTCACTTAACCCCAATTGCCTAAAAAACAACAAAAAAAAACCACAAAAAAATAAAATAAAAAGGTAGACAACAAGTGCATATATATTTTCATAGAGATATAAAATGTAGAAATATGAATAAAATACAAATAAATGCCAAGTAGTTGAATACAAGGTGGTTTGGGTAGAAGGGCACCAGCAGTTGGGAGGATCAGGAAAGGCTTAATGTGGAAAGTAGTGCTTAAGCTGTGTCTTGAAGGAAGAGAGGGATTCTGAGAGACAGAGGTAAGGAGCACCATATTTCAGGCATGAGGGAAGGTGAGTCCAAAGGCATGGAAATATGTAGCATATGAGGACAGAAAGAAGGCCTGTTTGGTTTGACCACAACATGTAGAGGGGGGGAGTAATATCCAATGAAGCCAGAGAGATGGTTGAGGTCAGATTGTTAAGGGCTAGGATTATTGTAACTTACTTATATTTTATCTCCTCAGAGCTTTGAAAACATTAGATTGTTAATAAAAGATTGATGAATGAATGAATGAATGAATGAATGAATGAATGAATGGACAAGTGGGCCTGAGACCACACTAAATATCAAGCAGGAAAAGACACTTTATTGACTTCTCTATCTTAGATTAGAAAAAGGAGGTGGTGAATGGCAACCCCCCTTAAATTCAAAAGTGGCAGGAGAAGGGAGAAAAACAAACAAAAAAGAAAGTTTCTGTTTAGTTTTGTTGTATGATCATTTCAGCTCAGCCTTTGTGAACTTCAGTTTCTTCATCCATAAAATGGGGGTAGAAATTGAGCTAGTTGAATCACTTCCAGGTCCATGATTCCAGGATTTTTTTCTATCCATTTTAAGGGGTTCTCTTCAATTATTCTCATCCACATCTCAGTCCCTTGAATGGATAGGCCTCTGCAATCTCAATACTGATCTAGCTCATACAAGGAGATCACACAGAGAAACAGAGAAATAAGGTTACAGGATCATGTATTCCCTGAAGTTGGAAGGGACCTCAAAGGCAGAATGCTCTCCCTAGCAAATCTCATAGGCTAATAATCCTATGATAGTACTAAAAATATCCCTTATCAAAGTGGTGGTTGAAAGTGTCTTCACTTTTCCCAGCCTTGCCTCCCACCCCAAATGCTCTGAAATATGAATTGCGTTTATTGAGAAGGAAAGCCCTAATTTGCTCCCACTATATTTGCTCCTCCCTCACTTCGCCCCCTCTCTTTTTAACTATGAGGGCTATAGTTTTATTGATTTATTTCCTTGGAAACTTCCATTTGATCTTTAGATTAACAAAGCGGTGTAGTGTAAATGGAGTCAGAAGATGGAGGTTCTAGCCCCAGCTTAGCAACTAGCAAGCAGTGTGACTCCGGGCAAGTCACCTCCCTAGGCCACAATTTCCCTCATCTGCAATAAGATGAGGTGTATACCAGAATCTAGAATTCTAACTCAATATCATTTTCTTCAGCTCTTTTATTTTCCTGCTGATGGCTAATGGGATGTTTTGCATCCTGGAGGCAGCTGAGTGGCACAGTGGATAGAGTATCTGGCTTCGAGTCAGTGAGACCTGAGTTCAAATCAAGCTTCAGATACTAGTTGTGGAGCCTTGGGCAAGTCTACCTCTGTTGCCTTGTCTGTACAATGGAGATAATAATAGCATCTGCTCCTCAGATTTGTTGTAAGGATCAAATGAAATAAAATGCAAAGACAGCCCAGTTAGATCCTTAAACATAGGGTCATAGATTTAGAGCTAACAAGGCCCTCAGAGATCTAGCATAACTCCATTATTTTGTAGAGAAGGAAAGTGCAGCCCAGAAGGTTAAAAGTTACTTTCACAAAATCACACAAATACTTAGGTGGTAGAGACAGACTATGACCCCTCAAAATATAATGTTTTTTCCACTTCTCCCCTGAACCATGCTGTATTTTCAGGGATAGGCACACAGGAATGCATGTAACATGTGTCACACATAGGAACACACACAAAGGTCCGAGTAAACAGGATCTTATACCCAAGGAGACAAGCATGTACACAGGAGATATGTAGGATGCTATTGCCAGATACACCAGGACCCATCTCATCCCTCCCCAAAGTCAGGTGGGACCCCTCTCCCTTCCTTCCCTTGTCTGCACCCTCATTTTCCCTGAGACATCTCCCTTCTCCCACAATTGAATTTCCTCTACCCAAAGGTCTCCTGTTTCCGTGCCTCAATTTCCCTTCTCTCTCTCCTTGAACCTGTCCACTCCCTATATGACTCGAGCAGACTGCAAAAATGTGGACAGCTAAGACACCCCCTAAGTGCCTTGTGGGTAGTGTATGCAGTAATATACAAAGTGATAGAAACTTTCTTTCTCCAGGCATGTTTATATACGTATACCACACACACACACACACACACATACACATGCACATGAATCTAGCAGTGAGAGCCCAACATACCTGATACAGTTTTCCATGTGCTTTTCTGGTGAGTTTGTTTTCAGGAACGCGTTATGGAGGGCCCTACTCTCTGTTCTGGAGTGTGTGCAAACATTCTGTGACTATTTCCCACCCTCTTCCTGTGTGGTGAAGAGAGGCTTTTGAATTGGCTGCTGAGTTAGATCTGAGTATGCCTACAAAAGGTCCCAATAACTCAACCTCTTTCCTGATTTGAGTAAGGAGGATGAGCTGTTACAGGTCTGGGGTGGGGAGGAGGGGAGATCTTGGGCACTCTCTCAGCCAGGGGCAACATGTACCCCACGTGCTCTTAAGGACTGGGTTCTCATTGGTTAGCCCACTGTAAAACATATGAACATACGTGCACGCATAAATCTATCTACCTACATTTAGATAGATAGATGTACAAACACAGAACCCTGTCATGGTTGATAGCGCTGATTTAACCAAGTATAAACAACATAGTTCTTGAAAAATCCTCCCAAAGCTACCAGTAGGTGACAACTTTCTGTGATGACTTTGACTCTGTGGAGGCCCCACACCCGATCCTGCAGCCCTGTGGCCTCACTCTTCCTTCTGCACAGCCCTTGCTATTGTTTTTGCCTTCTTCAAAAGACAACACAGCCCGGACTGAGCACTTTGGGCACCATCTTACCTACCTGGCTCTGTTGTTCATGGCCATATGGGCCCTGGCTCACCATGCCTGTGTCCTATGCATGAAATGCGGCCCGCAGTACCTACTGAACACGGTATTTTGTGAATTAACCACAGTCTATTGAAGACTACAACAACATGCCAGGCTCTTGCCATGGGATCACTGTGGAGAGGGAAGTAAATGGGAACGGAGAGTCCTAATTAGTAGTAGGCCAATAAATTGAGAATAAGTTTCTAACTATAGAGTAGATTTCTAACTCCTATTTTTCTTGTGGAGAGAGAGCTTCATGGACAGATTCTGCAGGAGAGTGATTAGTGACAACATGGAAGGAACACCTGCCTATCCCAACATGGGGCAGAATGTGAAAGAAACACTCCCTGCATCTCCAGCATGAAGGGGTAGTGCTTTTGACTCAAAGAAGCTGGTGGAACTGACTCATTCCCTGTTGTCATCTCAGGGTACAGCCAAATGTCAAAGACTTGGGGCCTGGGACTGAAGGTGGGCTTCTACATCCTAGAATCTCCCTTATGTTAACTTATTGCCAGTAAAGTTGAGTGGTTCCAAGACTAAACTTTAATCCAGTATTCTAGAAACCATCACCATCCCCTTGGAAGAGTAATTCAAACTCTCTCTGCCTCAGTTTCCAAAATGTAAGATTTGGACCAAATGACTTGTCAGTTCACTTCCAGCCCTAAATCTAGGATCTTATGATCATCTTATCACCAATAAATCTGTACTGAGGATCTACTATGCTAGATTTAAGCCAAGCATTAGAGACACAAAGAACTATAAAATATGGTGTCTGCCCTCTCAGGCATGCTTAAAACCTAATTCAAAAGACAAACAAGGGCAAGGTAGTCTATGTTAAGTGACAAAGAAATAGGATAAGATGAAATAGAATGTTGGAATATTGTTGCTCATTGAAAAAATAACCATTATAAAAAAGTACCATCTGCAAGTCAATAATATCACTCTGAAATTCAAGGGTAAAATATGTATTTATTAGGAGTCTACTATGTGCCAGTCATTGTGGAAGGTACTGAGAACACAAAGACAGAAGCACAATGATCCTTTACTCAAGCAGTTTATGTTCTACCAGGGAAAGGTGCTTTCTACCATGTAAGTACAAAGTTACACAAAATAACTCAAGAGATCAAGGCCTCAGCAGACCTAATCTCATAGGTCTGCAATCTGGAAAGACCATTTCTCTGATTGTTTTCTCAGTGGTAGACCATTGCCCTGCAATTGCATTTGTCATTGTTTTTTATGAAACCCATGTTCATTTTGTGTATGGCTGTTTTTATCCTGCCATTGTCACTGCTACCAGGCAAGCAGGGCATAGCAAGCCGTTCCTTCCATTTAGTTAATAGTCCGTGGACTATTCTAGAGATGCTAGTTTGTCATGGAAAGAGGCTGAATTGTTTGTTTAACAGTCAAGTGACAAATTATTTAATTAGCACATATGTCATTTGTCTCCACAGCTGCGTTCCTCCAACTAATTGCAAAGCAGCCTTAATTTATTGTAGATATATTGCTCCCTGATGCTAACGTGATAATTACACAGTTCCATTGTGCCTCTGCACTGAGTTTAAAAATGAGAGTGATTCCACCACATGGGGAAAATCATACTGCCCAGCCAAGCCAATGTATACAGTCACTCTCCCTAACTGCTAAAGCAGTGTTCACCAAAGCTGTACTTCTTTGAAATTTTCCCTTAAGCTTCTCCCCTTAAATTTGTGAGGATCAAAGAATCAACAGATTCATTTAATAAAGTGTGTTCCAATGCCTTCCAACCAAGTCCGTTTTCATATCCCCACCTACTGGATAAATTGCAACATGTAACTGTAG